TTACTATGACTATATTTCTTCATTGTGAAACTAATGTCCCTGAGTTGAATTGTCCTTTATAAGCTAGCTACAGGGAGGCATATACCATTATTAAACACCAGAATATTGAAAGACGGCTCCTATATTGTTGGTTGGACTATAAATTGCCCCCTAACAAGTAAATAATGTTTTGGTTTGTTTTTTATTTATATTGATTTTAGTTTTTCTATTACTTTTGTTTGTTTGTTGGTTTTTCTAGTCATGGGTTATATTTAACAGGCAACTGTCACTTCTCTCTCAATCATTGAATAAAATATTAAACAGCACATAACTTGTGCTAAAGGAACATAACATGCACCATAACCACTACAGTTCACGGTGGCTATTCTAAAAAGTCAAACCATTTTGGAATGGGTTGACATCTTTCAGAGGGTCCACTGGGTGACCATCCCTGCATCCACTACTAATGCTGGAGATCCGGAGGCTCCTAAGTAGGAGCTTACATTAGCTTTTCTAAACTACATCCTGCAGTGCGGGTCTAGTTGATTGACTGAGAGAATAGTCTTTTTGCTCTCAGCTGATAGTCACAACTTGGTTATTTTTCCTTACGTTTTTCCATTTGGGTTTAAATTATAGAAATTTGGATTTTTATTCTCCTCTTCTCTGCATAAAAAAAAAAAAACTACCACAACGAGATTACATAGTCTTAAATTAGAGGGGCAAAGGTTTAAAAATAATATCAGGAAGTATTACTTTACTGAGAGGGTAGTGGATGCATGGAATAGCCTTCCAGCTGAAGTGGTAGAGGTTAACACAGTGAAGGAGTTTAAGCATGCGTGGGATAGGCATAAGGCTATCCAAGACTTAAGATAAGGCCAGGGACTAATGGAAGTATTTATAAAATTGGGCAGACTAGATGGGCCGAATGGTTCTTTTCTGCCGTCACATTCTATGTTTCTATGTTTCTATGTATGCGTTCTCTATGCTGACTTAATGGTGCAAAGGACAGAGCTTACAAAAATAATTGACAGGAAGCTAAGATGGAGGCACCCAGTTACAAGATAATGAGATGTGAATTTTTACATATTTTTATAACATTTTTTTAAATATAGAGATTATATGAAAATCCTGGCAAAGTTCCCTTTAACCCCTTAAGGACACATGACATGTGTGACATGTCATGATTCCCTTTTATTCCAGAAGTTTGGTCCTTAAGGGGTTAAATTCAGGTGGATAAAACAGGTCACTGATGATTACACATGATTTGAAACAGGTACAACTGAAAAACAATCATTTTGGCAACTCTTGGTTACTCTCGTTCATTTAAATCTTCTTATTTTTTTTATTATATATGTCCCTTATTGTTATGCAATCATTAAACGCCACTTTAATAAAAAATTTCCACAGCATTAACTTTCTTTTGAAATCAAGCAGTTAATGTCTTTAATTACTAAGCCTATACCTAGAATTTTAAAACATATGAAATCTGTTTGTTACAGTGAATTTCTTTGTTCTTTAAAAAATACTACTAAAGTCAAAAGTTATTTTATAAAACAAAATTTGCTGCAAGTCTTGTCCACTTTCCCATGCTACGTTCGCTGCTGACATTTTGTGTTAATTTCAATAAAACCTTGTCATGCCTTAAACTGAGATTGTCCTTCACCGCTGTCAAGACTGACATTGATGAGATGTCTGAAAAAAAGACCACGGCATGTCGGCATCTACAGTAAATCAATGTACCTTTCTTGATATTCATTAGGACATATGCTATCTACAATAGTATTTATCAAAGTAATGATGTTTTGTGGCTATCAGTGATTTAGTCACCAAGTAGTGAGCTGTTATCCCGTTGCATAATTGTGCAAATAAATGCATGAATTGCAACTGTTCTAAAATATATGCTTTTTCTTATAGACAATAATTTTGTTCAGTTTCACTTTGAACACATACAAATAAGTAAGACCAGCCATTATTCCAATATTTTCTTCATTTCCTGTTCACGTTTATAACTTTTTTTTTTTAACTGTACCTGATAAGTATACTACACTACATACTACAGACTCCAATGTATTGCAGAAGTACACAACCAGATTGGTTATAATGGGCAGAGTGTACGAGCCAATCAGAGGTTTATTTACTAAGGTAAGGTTTGGAAACATTCAGCACTTCAGATATTGTGGACTACAAAGTGTGTTAGCTAAGATAAAGGAGGGTGCTCTAAGCTTTAAACAAGCTCAGATACTATAGTACAACATTACTACTGAAGTAGTTAATCAATTACAGGCTGAAATACATGTTAAATGTAAATAATCCGAATTCAAGATCGTACTCCTCCTAAGAACTGAATAAATATAATAAGCCATTATACAGTGTTATAAGATATAGTGGCACTTAGAAATTAAAAAAAAACAATAATAGCAGTAGTAACAATAATAATAGTGACTTAAAATAATAAGAATACCAATAATAATTACAGTATATATAAAAATAAAAGGATTTGGTTATATTATCTGACCATCTGACATTTTCATTACAGCAGTCCCTTGGCTATCGAGAGCAAGAATTCGTATAGGGTGCAAATGTCCTTATAGTTCTAACGCTTCCATAAGTCACATGCTTACAGGGATGACTTTTAACACTTACTTGCAAAGTGCTACTCATTTCAGTAGAGTTGAATGTGATTGTATAAGTCTCTTTATCCACGAGCAATGCCATCCAGCCATACTCATTTGACAATGTATCTTCAACATAGTTTAAAGTCATGGTTTTATTCATACTATTATTTATAATCACGTTATAGCTGGTACCAGGGGCTCTTTCCCTTTAAAAAATAATAAATAACAAATAGTTTCACAACATTCATCTTCTATAGTGTTTAAATATATCAACAGATTATATATTTAAAGGGGCAGGTTCCTCCTCCTCTACACAGTACATTCTCCCCAGTTTCCCAAGAGGAAGTTTCTGTGCTTTTCCTTTCTTCCAGCCCTATCACATCTCTTTGATCCCAATCCCTTGCACCTTGCTTCATTCTCATGCCAAGTGTAATGCTTTACTAAGTTCCAGTTTCAATATCAATGCAAAGCAAAATTCCAACCTCATGATAGTCTTGCGTCAATATTGATGTGGACATCAATACTTACACTAAATGTGTAGCCAAAAATGACGCAAGTTTGGAGTTATTGATATTGATAATGATATTTTGGTGCTATTCTGATGTTGTCAGATGCTAAGGCTATATAATCTCACCATACAAGGGGATCTGTGCCATGATATGGTCTCAGTAGCCCGAAAGTGCGTTCTACCTGTGATAGCTTTTTTGGGAATTTGACTGTGGCTTCTTGTTTGACTACTTTTATTTCTGTGCTCCTTCACCCTTGACTTGTCTTATTGTCTTGTTGTCTTTCTGTATCCTTTGACTCGGTTTGTTCTCTGACCATTCTCGCTTTTGTTATATTAAGCCTGGCCACCTCTGAGGACATTAAGCCTCAGAGTAATTCATTCTATCTTTCTAGATTTCCTAGTGTTGCATGTTGGGACACCTACCCACCTTGATATTCATCTACCTTACAGAATGTGACTCTCAAGCCTCACCCATCTGTCAATCTCTGCACTGATTTCCTGTTTTGATTATGATTCAATTTAAAGTCCTTATGCTAACTTACAAAGCTCTCCATAAATGTGCCCCTAGTTATGTTTACTCCCTCATTAGTATATATGTTTCAGTTCGGCCTTTTTGCTCAGCCTATGACCTTTTACTGTCTTGTCCTCATACCTGTACACCAGACAACTGCTTTCAGGACTTCTGCAGGGCTGCCCCTCCCTTATGGAATACCCTCCCATGCCACATTTGATGCTCCTCATCTCTGCAGTGCTTACAAAAAGTCCTTACAACACACTTTGTTAGAAAATCCTAAAAGCTTGCCCATAACTGGTCACCCCTGACAACCTTCCTCTGATGTCTCCCATACATTGTGCTTCCTCCTCCCAAATGTCCCATCCATCTTTTCAGGTATATCCAGATCTTATGATTCCCTCACTTCCCTTCAGACGTTTTGATTGTTGACTTGCTTGGGCATGGCTCTCTTCACCTACTGTTTCCATATGTCAAATGTGTTCTGTTAGAATACATTTTTATATCTTAGCCTCTTTTCTTTCTATTAATCAGGCCTTTCTGAGGTTGTCCATTGTCTTGCCGTCTAGTGTGACTATTATAAATTTTCAAAGTCATGTGACTGGTTGTAAAAGTGATTCACACATTTACAAGGGAGTCATAGGCATGAATCACTCATTAAATACAGACAATCTGCACCAAAAAAATCTACACAGAATTCTATGTCTCCAAGTCCTGATAGCTTTGAGACCTTCTGAGAAAAAAAACATTTTGCGCATACAGCACACCATTGTAAAACTTAACCAACGACCCCTGAGACTGACCCTAAATACCTATCCTCTGCAGACTCACTGACCCTTCCGTTTCATAGGTTGGATATATCCCTCACTATGGAGCATAAGTGAGTAGGTATCAAACTCTCCACTACATAATACAATTGTCTTAATAAAACTATTTTTGTAGCTGCCATGTTTTAAAACATAAAATCATGTAATGCATGCTATATATAATTAGAAAGGTTGTTTCTAAACAATGCATTGACATAACCTTTTAAATTTGTTACAATATATTAAAATAATATGAGTATATTTTTTTGTGGTAATTGATCAAATTAACAATGCAATATTAGTTTCTCAGGTGAAAAATACAGTGAGATGGCTTCCAGAAGAAAGTAAATAAAAGATTGGTCCGGATATTCAAGCTCCTTATTCACAACCATCTTGTTTCATTGCCAAATAAAACATGACTTTGATGTATTAACAACTGTTTTTTACTGTTATATATATATATATATATATATATATATATATATACACACACACACACAAGTAACCCCTGCACTCCAACAAAAAGAAAACAATACCTGGTGCCCTGGTGGCTCAATTATAAGCAAAGGAAAAGTACCGGCACTCAAGGATTTTCCAAAGTTTACTTCTCCATTTATTTGTGTCCAGATGAAAGCTCCCTAGAGGAGCTGAAACTTAGATTTTGATTTTTCCACAATAAATGGAGAAGTAAACTTTGGAAAATCCTTGAGTGACGGTACTTTTCCTTTGCTTATATATATATATAAAATTAAATGTATTTGATTTTATGTTGCCCGTGTTATTGCCATTACTTACAGGCCTATAGACATGCGATGAAATATGACCTCTTCTCCACAAATACTGCCAAGTACAGCTCCACTGATGTTCAAATATTCTGAACATGAGTCTGGAAGAATACTCATAGAAAACAGCAGATGGCTCCCTTTCAATCCGAAGAATGAACCATCAAGGTCTTCGATTATAGCAGAGTGATGGAAAGGAAAATTAGCTTGTTTGGGTGAATTCAAAAATTTCAGTTGCTTAGACATTACAGTGAAGCCTCCTAAAATAAATGGCAGATATTGTTGTCATTACAAAGTCTTAAAATAATAATTCAATATTTTATATCATTTGTATCTGCATTAGGCCTAGGATACTTTAGTGGCTATAGCCATTATCATTATTATTATTATTATTATTGCCATTTATATAGCGCCAACAGATTCCGTAGCACTTTACAATATTACGAGAGAGGGGATTTAACTATAAATAGGACAATTACAAGAAAACTTACAGGAATGATAGGTTGAAGAGGACCCTGCTCAAACGAGCTTACAGTCTATAGGAGGTGGGGTATAAAAAACATTAGGACAGGAAATAGCAATCAAATAAGGTGGGAGTGAAGCAGAGCTGGAGGAGAGAGTAAAGTGCTGACCTTTAGGAGAGAGCAAGAGACAGGTATGTGAGGTAGAGGTTACTCTGGGAGGCCATGAGCTTTCCTAAAGAGATGGGTTTTAAGGCACTTCTTCAACGATTGAAGACTAGGGGAGAGTCTGATGGCAGTAGGCAGGCTATTACATAGGAAGGGAGCTGCCCGCGAGAAGTCCTGCAAGCGTGAGTTGGCCGTATGGGTGCGAGCACCGGACAGGAGAAGGTCACAGGCAGAGGGGAGAGACCGAGAAGGGACATACCTATGGATCTGTGAAGAGATATAAGAGGGGCTAGAATTGTTCAGCGCTTTATAGGTATGGGTTAGCACTTTGAATTGACTCCTATAGGATACAGGAAGCCAATGTAAGTGACAGAGAGGTGACGTGTGAGAGGACCGACTAGAGAGGAAATCAGTCTAGCGGCAACATTCATTACAGACTGTAGCGGGGCAATACGGCTTTTGGGAAGACCAATTAGGAGAGGGTTACAATAATCCATGCGGGAAATTACAAGAGCATGGACAAACTCCTTGGTAGCATCTTGCATAAGAAAGGGCGGAAAGGGCGGGTCCGGGCTATGTTTTTAAGATGGAATCTACAGGATTTGGTGACATACTGTATTCCTAACGTTCTAGTTTTAAAACCACCATCTAGCCCCGCCTGGCCTCCCTAAATATAGTACAATCTTATAAGAGGTAAAATAATAAGGAAAAATAAACTGATCCAGGAGCCCCAAAAGACAAGGATAAGGGGCTGGTGGATTAGCTCCAGAAACACGCCCACCGTTACGCTCACTGAGGATGGGGGATGACCCACAGGTAGTATGAAAGGAAAATAAAATAAAATAGCGGATCAGTTAAGGCCCCAAGGACAGAGTAACAATAAAAAGGAGAGGATGCCCTACCTTTGATACTTCTAGGGATGAAAGAATAGCGGGTAAAAATTAGTGTAGAGGGAGAATTACACTTATACAGCTGGTAAGGTATATGTACAAACGAGCTAAGGTCCAACTAGACAGACACACAATGTGTCCAATAAATCAAATTAATGTTGGAATCCCCAGCTCCACACTCCCAGCATGTATACTAGTGGCAGGTATAGCTAAAGGTAAAAATCACAGGGAGGCAGAGGGAGGAACTAAGCCTCAATAACCATAAACCAAAAAAGGCTACTCTGCACCGTGGATTAACCACTAATGCCTGCCTGAACCAGTCTCCCTGCCTAAAACTAAATACAAATAAACTAGTGCACACTGAATTAAAGTGCTACCAAGTGAAGTGAAAACAAAAAAAGAGAGAGCTTACTTGTATTCAAGTCTGCAGCTACTGCCTCTGCCCCCTCGGCACCATGGACTAACCACTAATGCCTACCTGAACCAGTACCCCTGCCTAAAACTAAATAAAAATAAACTACTGCATACTAAATTAAAGTGCTACCAAGTGAAGTGAAAACAAAATAAAGGGAGCGCTTACTGCTATTCAGGTCTGCAGCTGCTGCCTCTGCCCCTGATCTGCCTGCTTGGCTGACATAATCAGAAGTGACTCTCTGATCCAATCACAATGTTTTCCCATAGGATTGGCTGAGCCTGTCAAGGAGGCAGAGCAGGGGCAGAGCCAGCACAAGTCAAACACAGCCCTGGCCAATCAGCATCTCCTCATAGAGACACATTGAATCAATGAATCTCTGAGGAAAGTTCAGTGTCTGCATGCAGAGGGTGGAGACACTGAATGGCAGTACTGTCCCAGGTAGCACTTCTAGTAGCCATATGAGGAGTGGCCATTGAAGTTATCACTAGGCTGTAATGTAAACACTGCATTTGCTCTGAAAATACAGTGTGTACTGCAAAAAGCCTGAAGGGAATGATTATACTCACCAGAACAAATTCAATAAGCTGGAGTTCTTTTGGTGACTATAGTGTCCCTTTAACCCCTTAAGGACCAAACTTCTGGAATAAAAGGGAATCATGACATGTCACACATGTCATGTGTCCCTCGGTTAAATCTCGGGATGTGACATATTCTCTAACTTTCCTCTCTGATGGTTTTGTGAGAATTCATTAAAATTGTTGATTGGTCAAACAGGCCTGTACGTGTGGCATTAAATGTTATTATACACAATTATACGCAAAAATTATTTTAGAGAATTTATTGAGATGCTCAGCGCAGGTATGTTTATGTTCACTTTACATCTTGACTTCTTATTTGTACATTTTAGTTGTTTACCTTTTAACAATGTATACTTTATTACACTTGATACTAAAAACTTAAAAGTTGTCACCAAAATTGGAACTAAATTATGGCTTTAAATTTGGTTGTTAATGCCCTACCTACCTAATTACTTTTATTAAAAAAAAATAAAAATGGACAATTGTTTCCTACTATTTTGAAAAGGCCGTAGACTAGCACAATTGAAAGATACTCCAGCACATTTTCAATTCCTCAGTGTCCTAGATACAGAGCGACCTTTCAACTGCTAACCAGTCTTTACAAAGCTTCATAAATAGCTTGATAAAGACAGGTTAATGCATGAAACATTGCTCTGTAACAGAGCTAGATTACCTTTCAGGTGACCAAGGTGATTGTCTAAAGACCACAATCAGCACACAACACAGATACATATTACATACAGCCAGTACACAACACACACATTATGTACTGAGATTATACGAGGGCATGTGTACATTGAAAATGGACTTTTCACCTGAGAGGTTTGTATTCTTTTCTCTGCATACATCACACGTCAAGGTGATATTTGTCAATGTGATATTTGCACAATACCAGCAACCCCTGGCACCTGTGCCTCTTTTGCATTTGAACCATAATGTGTCTGTTACATTTACATAGTTTATATTATTTTAGTGGAAACAAGCTCATAAACACAAAAATTCTACTGAAAACACAATGATTATAATTGTGAAATGTTTTATAAAAGAAACATGCCAGCATTTTAAATGGACAAAGAGGGATACTTTCATTTTAGGGGTGTGAGTAGGGGTGTGGTCAGGGGTGAGCTAGTCTGAGAACTTTTAGGGGACTTATTAATAATAATTGATAAAAATAAAATGTAATTTAGAACAAGAACACTGTATCTTATTTACATTCACAATATGGAGCTCCTAGAAAAGAGGGGTAGGCATTAGGATAGAAAAGAGGGACAGATGAATTTTGGCCCAAAAAAGGGACTGTTCCTCCTAAATAGTCAAACTTAGGAGGTATGATAATATATGACCTTACCTTGTCCTAAGGAACACCCTGAACAGGGTTCTATGGCGCTGCACATCGCATGGTCAAAGTTCATGAAGGTTATATTAGTGAGAAAAGACTGAAACCTTTTTGGAGTTTTTATGCCAGTTTTCATACAACCAGTCTATGGAAGCAAGAGGAAACAAATGGCATGTGGTTATCTGAGTGTCTAAAAGTCCTTTCTACACAAAAACTGTTATTAACATGTTGTCCTCTGTTGCATTTTAATAAGGCGCATGAAAAAAAAACAGATTCTACTTTTGCAATTTCTATGAGTTTTAAAAACATTGAAAAAATTACAGGAATGATCTACATATTTTAAGTGATGAAAATATTTCTTCTTTTGTAGATATGAGGACAATTCTAATCAACATCCATTAGTGTGCCATAAAACAAACTACTCAAAATTGTGACTGTACATAGACAGAACATGTGACAGTCACTTGCATGCATGTGAATACAAAAAGTCTAAAATAAGGTCTGCTCTTCTACATGTCCCCATACCAAGGAATGCATAGTTAGCCACATTACAGCCTCTCCACAGGGGAGATAGAGAATGACAAATTTCCAGGGAATAGGGAAAGATACTAAATACTAAATGTATGTATTGAATACTAAATGTATGTATAGCTCTCCATTCTTTGTTTTTCTGATTGTTTTTTTTTTTTTTTTAAACTACAATTACTATTACATAGTGCATAGTGCAGTAATTCCTGATTTGTGTGCCTTACGCTATAAATTGAAGTATTATATCTCTCTCAGTATATTCACTAAACCGTGCGGTATAAGATGTATACTCTGTGTGACTATATATATATGTTATTGTAAGCTCGTTCAAGCAGGGTCCCCAATAATCACTTGTTTCCTGCTGACAGTTTTAATAGTTTGCTTCCTTGTTGATATTTGTTATATCCTCACATTTAAAGTAAAAAGCGCTGCTGAATATTCTGGGACTCTATAAACGCTGATAATAATAATAAAAATATTATATGCCTCTATTTAAGTTACTTAATAGTTTAGTAAGTAATAAGTACATTCAGGTGGTTCATTTAAACATTC